TTTGTAGAATGATGGTTGATAGACAGAAAAGTAGCTGTTTATATAGGAATTTGTTCATGCAGACGGAAAAATAAGAGAGGAAAGAAATGTTTTATTTTTGATTGTTTATTGAAAGAGAGAGTGAAAATTTTGTGAAATCCTTTATTACAAGTGAAAATTTTTGTTCGTGATCAAAACTGGACCCCTGCCAAAATTGTAAATTAATTATTTCATACATAACACAACTAAAAGTTCATTTTCCAAGAAAACCGACTTACCCGTAATACTCCAAGCGAGGACGAAACTAGTCATGTAATTCTTTCAATCTAAAAATTTCTTAATAATAATAGTTTATATTTTATAATAAAATTAAGTATCTTGTACTGATCTTTGGATCATTTTGTACTAATACCTGCCACTTGATAATTAATATCAGAAATTGTGAAATACAACGGTATCGTGGTTACTTGTCACACACTATTTTATGTAAAAAATTTGGAAGTGTTGGCAATTACAAATAATATTTCATTACTTACATGATTACATATAACAACGAAATACAAGACTGAGTGGTCATTTCGGCGAAGCCGATCTGCGCGACTTTAAGCAATTTTATGGACCGGACGATCTTTCCTAAATTCATTTTCTTTATCACATTTAGATGTTGTACAGAATTAGAACCAAACATTTCTCAAAGAGAAAATTGGAAGAGGATGAACGACTTCGTCGGACATTACCGAAATTTAAACTACCCGTTGTGGACCGAGTAGTTGGCCAGACAGACAGTTAACAACAGTTGACACGAAGAGTACCATCATTTACAAAGCAGCCAGTGAGATATTACCTTAATGATGCAACACCACATAGATTTATTGATGATTTGATGGGTATTGTCAAAAAACCGAGCATTATGTTATAGATACCGAAACAGACATTGACACACAAGCACCAGCTTTAATCCAGCTTCTTCTAATTCCACACGAAATAAGAGCATCATCGGCATTAGTTATTATTTTGATAGAAACTCAATTCTTGCCGCCAAAACGTTCGACACGACGCCAACGAATTCAGGAATTGTGTTCAAAGATATTCCAGCCAACTCATTTATTTTATGGGTGGGGAGAACTCGATGACGAACTGATGAAATTCAGTGAATTTGAATTATTTAAATCATCAGATATCATGTATGCAGAGAATGTACAACAAATATTTAGACGAATGTACAACGCCAATCATCCCCATGATTATAATTGTCAAGCCCGATGGGAAGCGGAAGATGGTTGTTTGTTAACGACCGCTGCACCCTATGATATGGAATCAGACGACCATCCTGATTGCACATGTCCTGATCGTCCATACAAAGACCCAAGACAGCCAAATAGCTGATCGCTACAAAAGGCCTTATGGTTTGTTTCTTAACAAGTATCACACATGCACAAACTGGGCAGCTGGCACTGATCCAACTTTAAGAACGTTTGAATTTGATAATCNTGGGAAGCGGAAGATGGTTGTTTGTTAACGACCGCTGCACCCTATGATATGGAATCAGACGACCATCCTGATTGCACATGTCCTGATCGTCCATACAAAGACCCAAGACAGCCAAATAGCTGATCGCTACAAAAGGCCTTATGGTTTGTTTCTTAACAAGTATCACACATGCACAAACTGGGCAGCTGGCACTGATCCAACTTTAAGAACGTTTGAATTTGATAATCTTTTACATTATGAGTAGCTAAAAACACCAGCAAAATTACCAACATTTCCATCGCCAGAATTAGTATCACACCAGCAATTAGAGCCCGCTCAACATATGGACAATAGTTCCATACTGACACAATCAGATCATCATACAATTTCAGTTTTAGAAAATTCAATTGCTTCAGAAACATCTCAATCAACAGCAATAAGTGCACTTTTATTATTATCTTCAAATGACACGGGAGTGCCGCTTGTGGACCGTATAGGCGGTCACACGGTTTTTTCATAAGCAACAGCGAACGTACAAGAACATCAAAAAGACGTTTTACTGTCTCTTTCTGATCAACCGACAACAAGAAAATCTCGTACATCAGCCCATTCTCGTGCCATACATAATCAGAAATCTTCCAACAAATTTCATATAATAGATTATGATATCGAGATCATTTGTCCAATCTACTTCATATTTGATATTCATCAGGCGAAGAATATCCTCAGAGCATTGGGATTGAGATTTAGGAAGGTCATGATAGTAAATCGTCAATTTCTCCGCGTCGGTTTGTGGGCAGAAGCACAACGAAATGAATTTGAATTACGATTGTACCACAACTTATTTACATTGTGCCATCACATTCGATTATATGGTCGACAAGCAATTCAACGTTATTCACCATCTACTAGACAAAATCAATGAAATTTGGCATTCATGATTATTTATTGACACGGAAACAACTACAAGTGACCCGGTGAACAATTAGCTAGTAACCAGAGCAATAGCCTCAGGAAAACTTTTTACAAACTAACAGGTTTTCCTTCATATTTTGTGTTTATCTTTTCTCTACCTTTCCTTGTCAAAACCTCCTCTTCGGATGGATGTTACATCCTTCTGGAAAGGGGAGGGTGTTAAGTATAGAGTTATACACTTAGCGCACTAGTCCAGCGCATGTTTTGTACATAGTTCTATTCACATAGTTCTATGTTTTGTTTTTCCTTTTTCTTTTGAGATCGTGGTATAGTTACAGTCCATAGTCTACTTCTTTCTCTCCTTACCTATATTTGTTATCATTGACCAGTCCTTATCTCTAGTTATTTTTATCTTATTCTAGGTCTCCTTCTTTTCTTTGTTTGATTCATACTCGTCGTCTCTTTCTATGATTTTCTTTTCGATATAATATATATTCAAGCGTAAAGTTTTTCTTCTATTATTCATTCGGAGGAGCAGTTAAAAGCAGTCAGGAGTTAGTCGTGATTAGTATCGTATCTTAGATCGTATTCTTGATTTCTTCTTCATCGTTTTATAGTCTTCGTTTCCCTGTGTTTTTTATTACTATTTTCTAAAATATATTCATTATCAAGTGGCATCATTCTAACAAGACAGGTGAGTACATTGCGCCTTCTCGTCTTTCCGGGGGAGCCGCAAGAGTCTGACATCAGAGATCCGTGGTCCGGGGGACGAAAGGTTAGCATCTCCATGCCTGAATCCTGATTGTAAAGTAGTGAGTAGGTTGTTCTTTATCAGATAGTAATATAACCGCTGGGAGATAACTCGTTCTATAATTTTTGATACTGTCAGGAGTAATGTGATTGGTCTGTAATTTTCGGGGAGACTATGATCACTACTTTTGTATAAAGCACTGATAAAGCCTACTTTGAACAATGATGGATATAGACCACCTTCGATTGAGTAGTTTATTATGTCAGTAAGCTGTTCATCAATCACAGGTCCGGCTTCTTTGACTAATCGGGCTGTAATACCTGGGCTACTAGCTTTATTAGGATTTAGACGGCTAAGTATTTTTTCAATTTCACCTGAGTATAAAAATAGTATATCGAAAGTTGATGTAGCCTTCGGTAGTGTTGTTAAAGGAATTGGCATATCACAATCAACCGGATCCATAGTACATATTTTCGCGAAGAATTCATTTAAGATTTCAGCTTTTTTTGTATTATCAGTGATCCAATTTTTATTCGAATCCAGTAAAGCTGTTATTTCCGAACGCTTATTTCGAGTTAGTACTTGGCTTATTAACTTGTACCATGTCTTGGGATTCTTTTGTGTAGAATTAACCCTCTCATCAAATCTCAGCTTCGCTGATAGACATGCACTTTCATATTCAATCACGCAGGACAGATATTTACTTTTAAAAGGTGGAGAATTTATATGTTTTTTGTATAGTCTGAATGACCGATCTTTCTTTTTTCTTAACTTGCGTAGTTGTTCAGTAAACCATGGTTTGTCACGACTGCTAATAGATAGTTAGCTAATAGATTGTTTTATTTGGAATCGTTACTTTAGCTGCTTTAGTAATCGCTTCAGTTATTTTATCTACTTTTTCATCAATGGTCAGTGTATTATTAAAAGTATTATTAAGGTTCGAGTGAACATAATACCTGAAATAATTCCAATCGACACATCTGTAATTATAAATAATTCGGGTGAAAGACTGCTAGTTATGACAGGCTGTGTTAATGTTAGGCAGAGTAATTGATGATCGCAAGACATACAAGCAGAAGAAAGAACACAGCACGAACGTATAAAACTCATATTGTTGACCGCCAATAGATCCAAGCATGAGTTAGACGATAAACGCGTTGCTTCCCGTATCAGCTGCGTAAGGTTCAATAACGCAAAATAGTTATATATCATCTCCCCTGTCATCGGTTTTTGTGAAACCATTTGGAACATTGCCCGTTGAAATCGCCTGTTACAATTATTGAGTCATAAGAGGCAGAGGATGTGCATCGTATAATTGAGCCCTTAAGAAATGCGACAAACTGCTCAAGTAACCAAACATTGAATTCGTGGCGATAAGCTAAAACGAAGAGAATTTTCCTGAAACCAGGCAGCATGATTTTGAAAAACATAACTTCAAAATCGTTGCTTTCAAGTGATACTAATCTTTCACAAATTATATCATCTCGTATGTATGTTATACAGCCACTCTATCTCTGAGCTCTTTGAGTAAAGCGATCTTTTCTAAACAATTTATAATTATTTATTTCAATAGCGTTATCTGTAATAGAAGAATCAAGCCATGATTCTACAATGCCAGCAATAAGGGGATTCTCGTTTTGTATTAGCTCTTGAACGAAATATAGTTTTGGAATTTTACTATTTTTAGAAGATTTTCTCCTAATATACTCCGAATGTTTGAGGAGTAAATACTATTACTGCCATCAATTATATCCTTAGTCGAATGAATATGTAAATTAGCCATTGTCGAAGAAGAAGTGGGTTTCTCTGACTTGATGCAATTTTAAGAAATATAAAAAAAGAGTATTTGTCAAAATAATATTTAGGCATTTTGACCATACACATAGCACAAGTACAATGCAAATTTTTTTTTCAATTTTCTTTTCTTTTCTATTTTCTTTTCCTATTCACGTTATATATAGTATGCACCCACGTTACAATATGTGGTACATATATGTAACATACATTAACACTGCTGTCGTTGTACAGAAGCGCCAGATTTCGTTCGTTTCCTTAGTATGTACGAATATTATAGGCTTCATGCAGATATAGATAACGTGGGCACACACTATATATAACGGGAATAAGAAAAGAAAATCGCTATTTTTCGAAGCTCTATTATGATCCTCTCTTCGAATCATCGTTATAACTTTTTCAGTGTAATACTGTTCCAAACAGAAGACTATCTATAACTGGACGAAAGTCAAGAGAAGTGATCGAGTTATAGTATCGTGAGTAACAATAGTGAGAGAAGATAAAGTAGGTGATACTGTCCAGTCTCATTAATCTGGATTTTTGCTGGTCCTTGTTTCTTCTCTGAAATCCATCTTATTAGGCTATTGTAATCGGTCATTAAAGAACAGTGCCATACACCCCACTCCTCTTTTTCATTTAATCATAACTCGGTAACGAAAAAAGCTTTTGACAAGCGGTTTGGACCAAAATATTCTCTGCTCTCTCTTTAGTATATTTGTAGACAAAAAAGTTAGAAATATTCATTGTTGCTCCTTCTATTAGACCGAAAAGTGAACGTTTTTCAGTCGGCAAAAAAAAAAAAAAATCTTTTTTTACGCTGTATAAGCAAGCTCTGACAAAAGGTGAAAACTACATCGATCAATAGAATCGAGTGCGGGGTACATTTTGATTGTTCAAAAGTGCATCGAAAACTGAGTAAGATAAATATAGTGTGGACGTTAAGGAAAGAATTTGTCAGACGTCGAGCAAAACTTCATTTTTCATCTAAAAATTACGCCTGGAGGTATTTGGCTCACTAAACGCCTGACGGAAGAATAAAGGCAATTGATTCTTTGTTTAAGGTGAAAACTTTTATAACAGAAATCAAGATTGAAATCACCTTTTTGCATGTTGAAATGACCATTTCAAAATAAGACGTTTCGTCCTTATTCTAAAGACATACAACGACGTACAAAAAATAACTTCTAACATAGAAACAGACGGTAAAACACGTGTAGAACATAAAATATTTTCCTTTTGTTTTTCACTCTCCTTCAAGATCATATGTAATATGATTCATCTAAAAAAACATTCAGCATAAAAGTCTTTTGGGAATATATAGTTATAGTTATTATTCCCTTTTTTGTATGAATGTCCATGAGTAGGCTCTCTTTTATCTCTCTCTTTAATCTATGAGATTCTATAGCGAGTATTCCTGAATCCCAATTAGTTCTATGTCCACTTGCCAACCCGTGAA